TATCCTGGATATAGTCATAATTCCATCCTGGACCGAGGGTATGTTAATAAAACACTGTACAACAGAATTTTGACACATAAGAGCTGTTTTAGTGGCATGAGGAGGACCTACCTAATATTAGGCAGTTGGTTTTAATGTTGGAGCCGATTAGTGTATGGTAATACAATGTGGAGTACCCCAAGGGTCAATTCTAGGACATCTTCAGCCTCCACATGCTACCACCTGCTTACTTTGTGAAAAAACAATGACGAGTTTTTGATGTGAAAGTCAGTGCTCATCCGCCCACTGTGAACCCATTTTTAAAATGCCACATAAGACCATCTCAATCATCAGTTTTCGAATGTAGTAAAAAAATTCAAGAATTTCTGTTCAAGCAAAATATTAAAAAGCTCACTCATAGTTTCATTTAACTATCGTGAATGGTTGTAAATGTGTTTTTACACTCATTTCAAAAGAACAATCAAACACCGAAAGTTGATCCATTTTGAGATACTAGAAAATGAGGAGAATTAATTCCACCAAAAGAAAGAAACAGCACAATAAAGGTACGACAGAAAAAAAGATTCTCTTCCTGCTTTTTTTAAACTACTGCTCTAAATTCTCTGTAGGTTTCAAACCAGATAAAAAACCCTTGCAGGAAAATCGAGCTTTAGTTATTGGGGAGGCTCACGCTCAAGGAGCTGAGAAAGGCTGCAGCCTGAAGGTCACTGCCTGTTGACTTGCACAGAGATAAGTGAGGTTACCTCATCTGAATGGTGATAAGGACGTGGCTGCATGCCCGGCCTTGTACCCTACATTCTGAATTAGTGCCTCAATACACCGGAGCACGAGCTTTTCTGCCCCCTTCAGCGCAACTTCGTGCATTCAGAATTTATTGTGCTGCCTTTTGCTCAGAGCACCACAGCTGCCTTCAACTTTTTAATTGCCTCTGAATACAACTGCCAAACTAAAGTAGATGGAGGAAAAACTGAAAAGATAAACAAGCAAACAAAGCCCTGCAGTCATTCTCTCTCTCTTGCACTCTAAAAACTATCCTGAGGTTTCCTCCATTTGTTGCATAAATGTTCTCTTTCCGGTGTTTCACTACTTTCCAGATCATGTGGCCCAAATGAAACCATTTGAAACTGTAACTATTATAGTGTTGTTGTGCAAGTAAACTTCATTTGACCTGAAAGTCAACATGTAGTGACAACCACCACGACCACTTGGAGGTCCTTATCAAATGACATCAATCTGATGCTCCTACATTGCTAGGAATGAACGGTGAACTTTTCACTTGGATGATTAACAACACTGACCCTGTGTACTTGCGACAGACTGATGTGTTCATATAACAGTAACACTTGTCATCACTCTCATAGACGTGCACTATTCATCAATCAAGATTCTATATCATACACTGACAAGCCGAGTAGCTTCAAGACAAATGATAGTCCCGACGCTGACGTTTTATCTGGACACTGATTCAAGCTTGTCGGGATTAAATGAGTCCGTCTTGGTACCGCTTGGTGCATGAATCCGTGTGAAAATTTAAGAGACTGAACAGAGATTTAATACAAAAGAAAATAAAGTAACATACCTGATTAACACAGAGAATCTGCAAAGCTGACCTCCAGATGACTCATGATAATAAATGTAAATGCAGCATCAGCACATATGAGATCAAGGATGAGGTACCCACCTGGAGGCAGGACAGAAGGCCATGGCTCGCACCGCGTGGTCATGAGCGAGTAGGCATCGATAGGGCAGCAGACTGAGTGACTCGTCCGACTCTCGCACTCGCAGCAGCGCAGACTTCGTTGACAGATCCCATAGACCTACTACACCTGCAGACAGAAGGAGGCAGCAAGAATGTAACACACAAGACAATACATAAACAGAAAATGTTGGCTCCAATTATTATCTTTTAATCTGCAACAGACACCAAGGAATCCAAAAAGTTGATGTAAGTACTACATCCAAGAAAAAAAGATCTTGTTCGTCAGCAACAATGATAAAGTGTTCATATACGAGGTACGTCAGAAAAGTTCCAGGACTGGTGTCACAAAAGATAGATTTCAAACCCAAACTACAAATTACAAGTTTTCCCCTTTAGATGATCAACCAGCACGTCTACAGAGAGATCCTGCGACATTTGCTTCATTCAGTGCGCCAGAAGAGGTGAGAGCTGTGGCAGGACAAGTCGTGGCTGCTTCACCATGACAACATGCCTGCTCATAACGCCCTGAGCATCCCACAGTTCCTGGCTGAGAAGAACATCGCCGTGCTGGAGCAACCTCCCTACTCACCCCACCTGGCTCTGTGAAATTTTTTCCTCTTGCCCAAGCTCAAGGGGGTCATCAAGGGGACCTGCTTTGAAGACGTGGACAACATCAAGATGGTTGTGACGACAGAGCTGTGGAGGATCCTGGAAGAATCCTTCCAGGAGTGCATGGCGGCGTGGCAGAGAAGGCTGGGAAAGTGTGTTAGACTCCAGGGAGTTTACTTGGAAGGGGAAAACTTGTAGTTTGTAGTTTGGATTTGACGTATATCTTTTGTGACAGCAGTCCTGGAACGTTTTCTGACACACCTCGTAGATGAACTGAACAGTTAATCAAGAACCTCTACAAGAAATCAATGCATACCATCATAGAATCCAATAGCCATTATATCGTGTGGTTTTGCAGGCAGCCAATCCATAGACATGACTAGTCCACTCATTTCATGGCGAGGGGCTTTAAAGGAGCCCAGCTTCAAAGTTAGCACTCCTCGTGCCTGCAGAGGACAAGAGGGAGGAATTACAACGCAGCAGCCCAACAGCAGGGTTACACATTATATGTTCCTGTATGCCAAGGAAAATTGCATTTGGGATTTCATAAGCTAATGCATGGGTGTTCAGAAATGAATGAAATAAATAGAGGATTTTGATAGTATAATAGGATTAAATGAAAAAGAGGTGCATTAACTTTCATAGGAGGAGTCTACCTTGTATATTCTTGGTGCTTTGCTGTCTGTTCCTGTGGAGACAAATAAAACCACACTTAGTCACTGTTTGTAGGTGGCAAGAATTACACTGAGCATTACAATCTATACAAAGAGCATAAACATGGGTATAAACATGGAATAAAAAGTTAGAATCTAGCGGTGGATGTCAAATTATTATTGTTATTATTATTATTTTTTACTGGTTTATTAGTGCAATTGGCACAAAAATCTGTTTTGTGTCATGTCCTATCAGCAGCGAGGACCACCAGCTCGGCTCTACATTGACAGACTTGGCTCAGTTTTCTTCAGTCTGAGCAGCACTTTGTCAGTGTCAGATGTAATTAAATTCAGTTGTGCTCGAAGCGGAGCAACATTAGCACTCCAACATGACGACCCATTACTATGTTATGACCGCTAAACATATTTTAACGTGACGATGCTGCCGTGTTAAAGATCTGCTCCAAAGAAAGTCACGTTTTTTCTTCTTCTTCTTCTGTCCGTATGGGGTTTTATATGTGCAGGAAGACACATCATGAGAGCATGAGCATTATAACCTTTAAACTTCAGTGTACGGATGACAGTCTAAAAAACAGAGATTCAGACTTCCAGGGTTTCATATGTAACAAACCTAAAGAGGCAATCCTGTCAACTTGGAGCTTTCTGTATCATTATTCTTCCTCAGAATCAGTTTCTGTTTTGACTTGCTGGATTACTCCAGTGTGACAACCTGCCATTGTGCAGCACAGAGTAGTTTCATAGGGTGAGCTGGTGTGCTCGAGTGTTGGGTGGGGAGAAAGGCACGGACTTCACAGAGCTGCACATTCCAAAGAATGCAAACATGCAGAGTTACAGTGAAGCCCTATTAAGGCATGGAAAAACTGTAGAGGGACTTTAAAGC